ATAAGATAATTTTTATATTCTTTTCTAAAAAAGTAAGTATAGATAATTTATCATTCACATCAATTGTAAAATGTTTTCTAAATATCCGTAAAAAATATTGTATGCAACTTTGTCGAACAAAGTCTAAAGCACTCAGATTTTACACATTTTTCAAGTTTGGCCTGGTGATATTTTTTTATTAAATTGGACTTCCAAACTTTTTAACTTTAATAATTAAATCCTAATTAGAAGTAATGAAATTAAAATATACAATTTTTTTGAGGGCTTAACTTACAATATTGGTGAAGTTCTGAAATTTAAATACTTTTAGATGTTGGAGGGGTAAATATAATTTATTAATTTTTCACTTTTTAGATATTTTTGCAGATTTCTCAAAAATTTTCAATACATGGAGAACACTCTTTTGTTTTATTAAGTCCCAAATTTTTTGATTACTTTTAATTTTTGATTTTTTAATATCTTAAAAATATATAAAATTTATTTTAATATGGAGCATTTATTTTTTATCACTGTGAAGATAATATCCATATAAGATGCAGGGAAAAAAAGGAGAGATGCATGTCCATCCACTAATTAAGAAATGTTTCTCATATTCATGATGTTCCTTATTTAAGTTACGAGCATAAAAGAGGCTTATATTTTTAAAGGCATAACCGGAGAGCTCTACCATCAAATGTGATGGCAAAAGGACACAAGGTAGGGAACAGCAAATTTTTGGCTTTTTGCTGGAAAGAAATAAGCAAATTACTGGTCGGCCAATCTGAAGATTTAAAACTTCCATGGTGCCACATATGTACCTACGTTCAAGGTCACATCCTTGTATGCGGACATTAAGTCCCCAACATCTTGGTGGTTGAGTACATGACAGGTGACCTGTAAATGCCTGCAACGAAAGTATCTCGTGTGACATATTGCAATGCTTTAACATAAATAGAATTTATAGACAAGTCAATTGATTTATGTGGATTTAACTATTATCAGCTCAATGGAAATTCCTCTTTCAATTGCTCCTGGCCAACACCACCCAAAAGAAGCATCTCAATATCATCAAGGTATCAAGACACCATTTGACCTTTACCTCTGTTAAGAACCAATGTAATTGTAGCTATGCTCAATCCACACCAGGAAACCAATAAGTGAGGCCGCAAGTATAAGACCCATCACTAGCTGCTAAATCTAGAAACGAAAGATAACCACTTCTAACACAAATTTGATCAAACATGCACTTGAACTCAAAGAAAAAACTAATTACCATATAAATGTCAAGCAATTACGAATGCAGTAATTCACTGATTCATATGGCAGTTAAAGAAATATACCAAATTAAAGATACAAAAAAGATTATTGTTACAAAAAGAAAGGAAAA